TTACGCCACAGGTCACGTGGCTTCATCAGGGGGTTGTGAATCACAACCCCATGAAGAAGCTACATGACCTGCGGCGTAACGCGATATAGGATGTATCCTTTTATCGCGTAACACGATAAAAGGATATATCCCTGCAGGGATAGTGGCATATGAGGAAAGGAGCATTGGGAAGCAATTTAGGGATACCCACCATTCTTTATATGGTGCAACATATTACACAAAGTTCCATGTGTGAACAAAAAACAGAGTAAGCCTATAATAGGCTTAAAAGGAGGTGAGGCATAACCTAATCACAATAAGTAGTCACCAGGAATTGCAATTATTTATTTTGGATCACTTTTATTTGGATTTGTCACATTTTATACCACCAGAGACTTTTTGTTTAATTCACTTTATATATTTTTGGATCACATCAAATTTTTTGGGGACTTTCACTATTTAGTTGTCACTAGAGACATTATGTTAATTATTTATTTAATTTTATTATTTATTATCTTTATATATTTTTGATTTGGATTAATTTGTTCTAGCTTGAGGATTTACCTCTCTCCATGAGTCCAGCAAACTTAATTGTTGCAACTGATGTTTCAAGGTCTTGAAAAGAACCCGGGACTGTTGAACAAATCCTGTTGTTGAGGTGGAATCCAAATTCAGTTTAGGCTGCATTTTTGCATTGCATTGAAATCTCCTGCAACTATTAGCTGGTGATTCTGTAATGTAAAAGTTTGATTTGATCTTGATTTTGATGTGATATATAATTTCATCTTATATACAGTATGTTTAAATAAACAGCTTATTATTTTAAAAAATAAATGGTGTAGATTAGGGACATCAAACTTAATTTCACTGCGGGCCATATCAGCATTATGGTTGCCCTCAAAGGGCCGGTTGTATCTGTAAGCCTATAAATGTATCTGCTCTTTATCATATTACGTAATTGCCTGTGCTTTTGATTATTACTAGTTTTACAAATAACTTAAGATGTAAGCTGTGAAGGGCAGGTGCAGTTCGGCACGGAGACCACTCACACTCCTGTAGGTGATGCAAGTCTGGGATGGAGGGTCGCACACCGCTCGTATCATCCACAAGAAACTTTACTGGAGACTGCTGAGGCAGAAGATGGTTCTGCTATTAAGTACTGTCTGAGCAGTCTCCAATAAGGTTTCTCGTGGATGATACCACCAGTATCAAATTGTCAGCAAATTGTACTATTCTCATAATAATTATTAGCAGATGTCCAGAGCCCCCCACTATCAGAAGTCAAGAGTCCCCCACCCACCCTTACATCACAGTGCACCTGTCAGGGCTCCGGGTATGACCAGAGGTATGTGAACTGACGCAGGGAAACGCAGGCTTCAGATATGTTATAAACAATATAATTTATTAATACTAACAATACAAAACGCAGTGCAATACTAAAACATAAACACAGTGCAAACGAACCAAACCACCCACAGATAACAATACATACAATGCAAGCGTAGTCAGGCAGGCCGGGTCAATAACAATCGGGCAGGTAGGAACAGGAGGAGCAGGCAGAGAGTAGTCAGGTCACGAGCTGGGTACAGCAACTAACGGGCAGGTAGGTACAGGGGGTCAGGCAGAGAATGGTCGGGGTCACAAGCCAGGGATCAAACAGGAGAAGTCAGCAGAGGTCAGGATCAGGCAGGGTCGGCAACAAGTCGGTCAGGCAGGAACAGGAACAGGAACAGGAATGCAGGTAACAAGATACAGGGGCCCATGGAAAAACACACACCAAGGCACAGACTGCAGGTCTGGCCATCCCTTAAATACACCTCCGTAATCAGCTTCACGTGTTTGGCTGACTGCAGGGTTGAGTCTCTGATTGCTGAGAGCACCCGCTGGCCAGCCCTGGTACTGCAGCCCACAAGGCAGGTGAGTCCCACTATTATTGGCAAGTCCATTCCTGACAGCACCCCACTTACCTTGTGCCACTGCAGGGAAGAAGCTGGGAGCAGAGCTGCAGGAGAGGTGCAAGGGCCACATAAAAAGTCCTGGAGGCTTCTCTTCAGCTTTGACCTACTCTATACCACTCATTATTCTAAATAAACATTAAGGGGCACAGTTAAAAAGCAGTAGTATGGCCATATAGCCGCTATAAAAGGAAAAAAGTGCTTCACAAATGTGCTTGGCACTCTGATGGCTTCAGAAGTCTGAATTTGACAGAGCCCAACAGAACTGAATAATAGTCCTGTGAAAAAGAAAAAGAAATTCGAGAGGAGAACCAGGTTGCGGGAAAATTACATAGTTGTCTCTCCTCCAGTCATGTATCACTCTCTGATCAGTTAAGCACTCTGTGGGGCTCAGTCAACTACACTCCATGACCCTAAATTAATTTCTCTTGCTCTTCTCCACAAAAAATATAAAAACGAAAAAGTATTTTTTTTCTCATTTACTTGGTTAGAAAATGTACACAGTCCCTATTCCTGCATATAGATCATTTTTAACTTTCATTGTTATTTATGGGGAATTCTTTGCAGCTGTATAGGTATTAATATAAGCTTTACTTGACGCATTTAATATTTTAATATAGCAGAAAAATTTCAACCATTATACTGTATGCATATACTGTATAATTTTATTAGATTTTATTAATAATAAACCATTTTTTTCATTTATTGCAGATGGTGTTGCAGTAAAACGAATAACTTACATCATACCTATTTGCTTGCTTTTGACGAAGTTCATATTGTTTTTGGTGATTTGGAAGATAAGAAGAAAAGGTATATTCTTATTTTGGCCACTCTATACCCTGTAGTCTATACTGTATTAGACTATTGTCTATTGCATACATTTAAATAGAAATTCATACAAACAGTAGTACTTACTACTTGTGGGTCTATGGTTTTCAAGAACTGGAAAATTCTGAATTCTCCTGGGCCTCTAAAACTGTAGTCATCTATGCAGATTGTCCCTATATCGATCTCATCCACACATTGTTTTTTCTCTGCCATCATCCATAGAAATACAGTCATCTACTATAATGCACACCTTGCGTTAATACATGAAGACAGGTTAGGAACAGTAAGAAAATAAAATTCTCTGTGCAGAAAAGGTGAGATTTGCTGACTAGTGTTTTTGGAGTTAATGGTTGTATGCCTGCAGCTCCAGGGATGAAAACTGAGCACTGTGTAGAACAGAACATATAGAGGTACTCACAGGGTACATACTGTATGTTGGCAGAATAAAGCATTTAATGCGAATTTTTTGCACATAGTGTATATCTCTACATTACATAGTTACATAGTTAGTCTGGCTGAAAAAAGACAAAAGTCCATTCAGTTCAACCATTACAAAAAAAAAAAAAAAGTTATAACCCTATACCCACAGTTGATCCAGAGGAAGGCAAAAAACCCAGCAAAGCATGATCCAATTTGCTCCTGCAGGGAAAACAATTCCTTCCTGATCCCCCAAGAGGCAATCAGATATTCCCTGGATCAATTTTACCTATAAATGTTAGTATCCAGTTATATTCTGTGTATCTAAGAAAGAATCCAGACCTTTTTTAAAGCAATCCACTGAGCTGGCCAGAACCAGCTCTTGAGGGAGTCTATTCCACAGTTTCACAGCTCTTACTGTGAAGAAACCTTTCCGTGTTTGGAAATTACATTTCTTTTCCTCCACACATAAAAGAGTGACCTCTTGTCCTCTGTGATGACCTCATTGTGAAGATGAAACCTGACTATCACAACGATATGACCTTGTTGAATACCCCATTCCAAAAGCAAAGCATTAGAACCAAAGGATCCCCTTCAGTGCTGTGACAGCTGCAATATCACTTGTTGCTCTGTTTCCACTGCTGACATGTTCTCTGGACAACTTTAGATTTAATGTCTTCGGCCATCTTCATTGACTGACCCAGGACCATATCTAATTTATCCTAGCACCAAGGCATGTTAGGAATGTACACATAGCTGAGGATGCATAAGAAATATATCTGGCAAGCAGAAGAGGAGCTTGTATTGCAAAAAAGACATACAGAGCCTTTTCTGCAATTAAAACCTACCTACCAGCAATATTTCGTAAAAAGGCTTTAGTTTCACTTCTTTTTAACTATATCCACCACTCCTCTAGGAAGGCTTCCAAACGGTGTCTTTGGGAAATGGTGCTCATTCATTCAAAAGAAACTTTGTGAGATCAGGTACTGATGAGAGAAGACTTGGCTCATAAGTGGCTCACAAGTGGCATTCCAATTCATTCCAAAAGAGCTCAGTAGGGTTGAGGTCAGGACTTTGTGCAGGCCACTTGAGTTCCTCCACTCCACTATCATCAAACCATGTCTTCATGGAGCTGGATGTGTGCACAGTTGATACAGTCTTGCTAGAACAGAAAATTACCTTCCCCAAGCTATTACCACAAAGTTGGAAGTGTGGTCTATGTCTATCTGTCCCAATAACACTTCCACCCATTTTTTTGTCCTTGTGTCACATTGATAAGAAACTAGTTACACATGAATAAAAACTTTACAGAAATGTTCTATTTTACCCACTCAATGTAAAAAAATGGCTTCAGTTAGGCTTTAACCACTTGCCTACCAGGCACTTATACCCACTTCCTTACCAGGCCAATTTTCAGCTTTCAGCGCTGCCGCACTTTGATTGACAATTGCGCGGTCATGCAACATTGTACCCATATGAAATTTAATCATTTTTTTCTCACAAATAGAGCTTTCTTTTGGTGGTATTTAATCGCCACTGGGCGCTTTACTTTTTGTGCTATAAATAAAAAAAGTGCAAAAAATTTGAAAAAAAAAAAAATTTCTTTGTTTCTATTATAAAATTTTTCAAACAGGTATTTTTTCTCCTTCACTGATGTGCGTTGATGAGGCAGCACTGATGGGCACTGATAGGCGGCACTGATGGGCACTGATAGGCAGCACTAAAGGGCACTGATAGGCAGTACTAATGAGGTGGCACGGATAGGCGGCACTGATAGACAGCACTAATGAGGTGTCACGGATAGGCGGCACTAATATGCAGCACTGATAGGCGGCACTGATAGGTGACACTGATGATGGGTACTGATAGACGGCACTGACTGGCATCACTGCTGGGCACTGACTGGCAGCACTGACTGGCACAACCCCTGGGCACTGACTGGTGGCACTGACTGGCAGCACTGCTGGACTGCACTGGTGGGTGGCACTGGTGGGCAGTACTGGTGGGTGGGCACAGGTGTGGGCACAGGTGGGTGGCACTGGTGGGCACAGGTGGGTGGCACTTCTGGGCACAGGTAGGTGGCACTTCTGGGCACAGGTGTGTGACACTGCAGAGTGACACAGGTGGGTGCACTGCTGGGCACAGGTAGGTGCACTGCTGGGCACAGGTGGGTGATCTGCTGGGCACAGGTGGGCGGAGCTAGTGGGCGCACTGCTGGGCACAGGTGGGCGGAACTTGCGGGTGGCACTGCTGGGCACCGATCATCAGGGCACTGATCATCAGTGTCCTGATGATCAGTGCCGATCCCCGCTGTGACAACTGCCGGTTCACGGCAGTACTTTCCTCACGATCTGACAGCGTGAGGAAAGTGCAGCCGAGAACCGGCACTTGCATTTCCCTGTGATCAGCGTGTCATTGGACACCGCTGATCAGGTGGTAAAAGGCGGCTGGGATCGGCCTTTTACCACATCACGTGATCAGCTGTGTCCGTAGGACACAGCGATCACGGAGATCGCCGGGTGCGCGCCCCCTGGGGCGCGCAGGAGAGCGCGTTCTGGGGGGACGTCATATGACGTCCACCCAGAACTGGCCGGCCGCAGTGAAGCCGTCATTCGGCTATCTGCAGTCGGCTACTAGTTAAGAGTCAGCCCTTAACTCTCCCAACATAGGGAAAAATTCAGTTGGCCCAAAATTGGTATTCAGCTTTTGCTAGATGCCAAAGAGGTTTGTATGTTGGATCTTGAATTTACTTGAAATTTGAGATTGTACACTCCAACATACAGTGGATTTAAAAAGTCTACACACCCCTGTTAAAATGTCAGGTTTCTGTGATGTAAAAAAATGAGACAAAGATAAATAATTTCAAAACTTTTTCCACCTTTAATGTGACCTATAAATTGTACAACTCTTATAACTGGGGATGTAGCCGTGTTCAGAATGAAGCAATCACATTCAAAATCATGTTAAATAGGAGTCAGTACATACCTGCCATCATTTAAAGCGCCTCTGATTAACCCCAAATACAGTTCAGCTGTTCTAGTAGGTCTTTCCTGACATTTTCTTAGTCACATCCTACAGCAAAAGCACATCCTAGGCTTTAAGAGTCAGCCCTTAACTCTCCCAACATAGGGAAAAATTCAGTTGGCCCAAAATTGGTATTCAGCTTTTGCTAGATGCCAAAAAGGTTTGTATGTTGGATCTTGAATTTATTTGAAACTTGAGATTGTACACTCCAACATACAGTGGATTTAAAAAGTCTACACACCACTGTTAAAATGTCAGGTTTCTGTGATGTAAAAAAATGAGACAAAGATATATAATTTCAGAACTTTATACACCTTTAATGTGACCTATAAACTGTGCAATTCTTATAACTGGGGATGTAGCTGTGTTCAGAATTAAGCAATCACATTCACAATCATGTTAAATAGGAGTCAGTACACACATGCCATCATTTAAAGTGCCTCTGATTAACCCCAAATACAGTTCAGCTGTTCTAGTAGGTCTTTCCTGACATTTTCTTAGTCACATCCTACAGCAAAAGCCATAGTCCGCAGAGAGCTTCCAAAGTACCAGAGGGATCGCATTGTTAATAGTCAGGAGAAGGGTACAAAAGAATTTCCAAGGCATTAGATATACCATGGAACACAATGAAGACAGTCATCATCAAGTGGAGAAAATATGGCGCAATAGTGACATTACCAAGAACTGGACGTCCCTCCAAAATTGATGAAAAGACCAGAAGAAAACTGGTTTGGGAGGCTGCCAAGAGGCCTACAGCAACAGTAAAGGAGCTGCAGGAATATCTGGCAAGTACTGGCTGTGTGGTACATGTGGCAACAATCGTATTCTTCATATCTCTAGGCTCTGGGGTAGAGTGGCAAGTTGGAAGCCTTTTCTTACGAAGAAAAACATCCAAGCCTGGTTAAATTTTGTAGAAACACATCTGAAGTCTCCCAAAAGCATGTGAAAAAAAAGTGTTCTGACCTGATGAAACCAAGGTTTAACTTTTTGGCCATAATTCGAAAAGATATCTTTGGCGCAAAAACAACACTGCACATCACCAAAAGAACAGCATCATGCTCTGGGACTATTTTTCTTCAGCTGGAACTGGGGCCTTAGTCAAGGTAGAGGGAATTATGAACAGTTCCAAATACTAGTCAATATTGGCACAAAACCTTCAGGCTTCTGCTAGGAAGCTGAACATGAAGAGTAAGTACATCTTTCAGTATGACAACTACCCAAAGCATACATCCAAATCAACAAAGGAATGGTTTCACCAGAAGAAGATGAAAGTTTTGGAATGGCCCAGCCAGACCCCAGACCTGAATCCAATCGAAAAGCTGTGGGGTGATCTGAAGAGGGCTGTGCACAGAAGATGCCGCAGATTTGGAGTGTTTTTGCAAGGAAGAGTGGACAGAGTGCATCAAAAAAGTATTAGTTTAAGGGTGTGCACACTTATGCAACCATATTATTTTAGTTTTTTTATTTTTATACTAAACGATTTCAGTTTGTTGTTCAATTGAGTTGTACAGTTTATAGGTCATATTAAAGGTGGAAAAAGTTCTGAAATTATTTTTTTACATCACAGAAAGCTGACATTTTAACAGGGGTGTGTAGACTTTTTATATCCACTCTAACTTGAAGTTCCCTACTCGTAACTATGATTTTTCTCATTTCTATGCATTTTTTTAAATGGTTGAAAGAGCCCAAAGATCTCTGCTTGGCTTCCTAGGTCTAGGAAAATTATGAACTAGTCCTACTCTCTCTTTTGGACTTTTAACTTTATTTTGTATTTTGGAGACTGCAAAAAAAAAGCTGGGAACACCTGAGCATACATCAGTGTAGCAGGAAGACTAACATTTTATGGTGAGCTGCAGTAGGGCCTAGGGAGAGCTTACTACTGGAGTACCCAAAAGCTATAAGAATTCAGAAGATGAATCAATCTACCAAACCTGTACATGTTTTTATTTTTTTCATTTTTTTTTAGGTGGAGAACAAATTCAGCATGTATTGTGAACCAACATTTCCCACTGATAATCCCCCAAGAACTGACACCCAGGTAAAGGAGAAAACATTTTACAACCAAGGGCAAAAAAGATTTGGTGAACCTAAAGGTGTCGATACAATGGCCAATTATCTTGTGCAGTTCACCAGGAAAGGTCATCGTATATTTGCCTGTATACAATGACGAAGGGTGATCCTATAATACAATGATGTTATTTTCCACATAGAGCATATTAAAGAAACAGCCCTTCTACTTCACCCAAAGCAATGTACTACCCCATCTACCTGAGCTACTTAAGCCCTCACTACCGAAACAGGGTTTCTGGGTAAAGGGGAGTATGTCTCTGACCAATCACCAAGTTGGATACTGTAGTGTGGGAGGACCAGTGATGCCTGGGATGTTGCAACAGGATGGAGGTGCGGGAGCTTGGCTTGGTAAGTATATATACCCTTGGGGTTGTGTGTTATGTCCATGAGGGAAGCTCTTTCATGTCTAGGGTACCAGTAATAGGAATTTTACTCATCAAAGTCCATGCTCCTCCAGCAGCTACCACTTTCTTCTTCTCCCTGACACTCAGGCTTGTAGGTGGCCCTCAGCATCCTCTAGTACAATGCAGGGCTATTGTACTTGATTATGCCCAAGTGCCTGTGATTGCTGGAGTGCCATAGAGGAAAGGGGGGCTCACATAGAGTGGTGGGGGAGTGCTGTAGTGAGGGATTAGGTTAGTAAGCCCTTGTTACAGGTACCTTAGGCGTAAATGAACATTTAAAATTACACTAAACTCAGGTTTTTTTGAGATAAATAAAAAAATCTATTCAAGTATGTATTCCTAAATAAAATTATGCAGGCTATTGCTCTCAGCCTCCTCCAAATCTCCATTTTTTAAAAATTTTTTGCTGCTTTGGTCCAACTTCCTGCTCCTGACTGTGTTTATTCTCCGTGGTCCCATTCTCAAGGAGGCATAAAAACACAGTACAAAATGATTTCATTAAAAATAGATTACAGGGCCTTTAAGTATTGGATGTGTATAGATTATGTTTTAGCATAAGGCTACTGTTAAGTGTCACTTTAACCCTTGCAGTGAGGGGGAACCCCACTACAATGAGGATTTTTCTTTACCCCGGAGTTCAACTTTAGAGTGAACTATATGTTGCTCATTAATCACTTCCCTTCTGGTCCATGTATATGAACGGCCAGACGGGAGCAGTGCAGTAGCGGGTGGCCGTTTATAAACATTCTCCTGCTTCCCTGCCTGGGTACACTCCCTGGGAGCGCGCGGCAATGCGATCCGGTGCCCGCTGTGTCCTCCAGACACCAATCACTGTACAGGACCTCTGTGTGAGGTATCGATCATGTGATCACTGATTTGCCAATCAGTGATCACATGAATAGTAGTAAGCAAGATGTCACTTCTGACATCATTGCTTACTACTAGTGAAATATGTAAATGATCACAGAGGTCACATGGTACAGGGCTATTCACAACAGCCTTGTACCATGTGACAAGCTGTGACCAATCACAGCTCACACATTTATTTCTCAATGGCTGCAAGAATGCAGCCAGAGAGAAAGAGAAATGATTGCTTTTACAGCCTTTATGGGTGTAAAAGCAATCAGTGTTAAAAAAGAAAAAAAAAAAAAAAAATCTTCATCACCCCTCACAAGTAGTACACTGTCACTATGGTGACACTGTACTGCTAGGGTGACAGTATGTTAAAAAAAAAAACATAAATAATAATATAAATAAATAAAATAAAAATGTCAAAACATTGTTTGAAAAATTGTTTTTGGTTATAAACTAATTTAGGCTATTTTAATTTTTACTAAAAAGATAGTTGAATATATTTTGGCCAAGATTTATGAAGAAAGATTATTTATTTGCAAACCTTTATAAGAAAAACATTTTTTTTCAAAATGTTTGGACTTTTTCATTTATATAGCAAAAAAATTTAAATCCCAATGGTGAATAAATACCACCAAAATAAAGTTTTATCTGTCTAAAAAAAAAAAAAATGCTAAAAAATTCATATGGGTATAGTGTTGCATGATCGCGCAATTGTCATTCAAAGTGTGATAGCACTGAAAGCTGAAAATTGGCCTGGACAGGAAGGGGGTAAAGGGACTTGAAGTGGTTAAAAGAAATGCAATTACTAGGTTAACTTAACGTGTGTATCAGGACATGATATC